TCNTACTTTTTGTTAATTTAAAAATATTAAAAAATTTGCTTTCTTAACCAACTTTATAGTCTTGTTTTATGCCACCAATACTCAAACCATTTTCGACCATGACGTTTAGAACGCCTTCAAAACTGGATGCAATTGTTTCTTTCTCAACATTACTTAAAGTCGAATTGTTTTGGGCTATATTGTTTGTGTTTCCAATAGTTTGCGGTGAGTTGACCACAGGTTTTGTCAATTTTGACCTGATTTCATTTAATCTTTGTCTTATATCTAAAAATATTCTTTCTTTATGGATGTTGGGATGCAATGTAGAAATTTTCAAACGATCTACAGCTTCAAGCAAGTTGTTAACCACCTGAAGGAGAGCATTATCTTGAATAAAAAAGTTGTTTTTATTATTTTTATTTTAATAAAAAAGTTGTTTACTGTTTTTCTTGTGTAGTTGATCTACAATAAGAATTTTAATATTGCCGAATGTAATTTGATGATTTCGATTAATTAAATCAGCTTTTTGTAAATTTAATTTTTGAAAATGAAGTTTATTTTTAAGAATTTGAATAAAATTTAGATTAAAACTTTCCATATCATTTTTTACATTTAAAGTAGGTAGTTGATGTTGGTTTAATGTTGTTTCATAAGCAAAAATATTTGATGTTAGAATAAAAAATTTAAATAAATGCAAAATAAAAATGCAATTTACAAAGAAATAAAATATCATTTTCAATTTTCTAAAATTAAATTTTTGAAAAAATAATTGCAAAAATTAATTTGATTTGACTAATTTTTGACATAGGCCAGCAGTTTAAAAGATTGACTAATTGTTTTTGTTACTAGTGCATTTTTAACCGTGCTTTTACGGATTTTGTATTTCTAATGAAAAAAACTGGCAATTGTAAAAATAAAATTTTGTTTATGTTTTGTTTTGCATTTTTTCAAGTTTTAACTACTCCCAATTAAACAATTACATTTGTTTAAACATTAAAACTTCAAACTTTAATTTTTGCATCATAACTCAAAATTTATAACATAAAATGATTAATTAAACTTATTAAAAAGTATAAAAGTTAAACAAACAATTTTTCTAACGATGTAATAACACAAGTTTTACTTAAAAACTTGCAAATTTTCTTTTGCAACCAATTATTATTTTTAATTTCTCGGATAACCATTTCTTTAAAGTTTTTTCTTACAGCAATTTTGCCAATTACATCATTCCATGCAATAACCAATCTGTTCATTTTTCCCAATTCTTTTTGCATTTTGTCCAAATTATTTTTGTTTTTGTTTTTCTTATTATTTTTCATTAGTTTTTCAATGAACATTTCCATTGGACCATCACGATTAAGAGTGTTAACAAATTTTTTGATCATTGNTAAACTTTAATTTTTGCATCATAACTCAAAATTTAAAACATAAAATGATTAATTAAACTTATTAAAAAGTATAAAAAATTAAACAAACAATTTTTCTAACGATGTAATAACACAGGTTTTACCTAAAAACTTGCAAATTTTCTTTTGCAACCGATTATTATTTTTAATTTCTCGGATAACCATTTTTCTAAAGTTTTTTCTTACAGCAATTTTGCCAATTACATCATTCCATGCAATAACCAATCTATTCATTTTTCCCAATTCTTTTTGCATTTTGTCCAAATTACTTTTGTTTTGATTTTTTTATTATTTTTCATTAGTTTTTCGATGAACAATTCCATTGGACCATCACGATTAAGAGTGTTAACAAATTTTTTGATCATTGGTCTAAAAGTATTTTCAATTTTTCTAACTTTTAAAAAGTAAAAAATTGTTTAACATTTGTTTTATAATAAAATTTAATTTTTTTACTTACCGTTCGGTTTATCAAGTGTTGGAGCAATTTTGATTAAAGCTACTATCCACCCTTTTATCCAACTGGTCATTGCAGAAAATGCTTTAAAAACTTTCTTAAAAGGTGCTTTAGTTCGACCATTTCCTAGAACCTTTACATAATTATTGACAACTTTAACAATTTGTCTACATTGTTCTTTAACAATTGCATTAGTTCTTGGTGTTGATTTTGATTCAACTAATGCAGTTGAAAAAATAATGAAAAAAATGCCAATAAAAATGACAACAGTTAGAGAAAGACGGCACATTGTACTTGCAAAAATTAAAAACATTAGTTGATGCACTGTGATGTCTGAGCAGACATTAGTTTTTGTTTAAATAATTTAATTTTTTAATTTTTTTCAAACGTGACAATAAATTAAAATTTTTTAATAAAAATTTTTATTAGCAACATTTTATCAAAACAAAAACAATATAAACAATTGTTGGTAAAAATGTTAGTAAACTTTTCAAAAATTGTTTTTCAAAAAGGATCCTGCTTGACGCGTATTCAAATATTAATCATAATTAACAAGTATTGTTTAATTGCATGGCGTGATTTTATATTCGCAAATTAATTTTTGAAGATTTATATTGTTTGTTATTTCTTGCTTGACCAAATCTTCAAATATTTTTCTTTCTGAAAACTCACTTACTACTAGACTCCACTCAATAACTACAGCGTTCATTTTTTTCAGTTCGTTAAGAAGTCCATCTAATATTGCTTCCAAGTTATAATTTATATAATTTATTCTATTGCTAAAAATCAGTGTTAAAATGTAAGTTTCCATAGGACCACCACTATTAAGCGTGTCAGCAAACTGTTGAAGTGTTGGTTTAAAAGTGTTTTCAATTGTTATAGCTTTAAAAAATTAAAAAGTAGTTACTTATTTGTTTTACTGAATAAAGATTTTTATGCTTACTGTCTTTGTCACTTAGTTTNATTTATATAATTTATTCTATTGCTAAAAATCAGTGTTAAAATGTAAGTTTCCATAGGACCACCACTATTAAGCGTGTCAGCAAACTGTTGAAGTGTTGGTTTAAAAGTGTTTTCAATTGTTATAGCTTTAAAAAATTAAAAAGTAGTTACTTATTTGTTTTACTGAATAAAGATTTTTATGCTTACTGTCTTTGTCACTTAGTTTTGGAGAAATTTGTTTTAAAACTTCAATCCATTCTTGTATCCAATAGGAAATTGCAGAAAAGTCTGTAATGATTTCGTAAAATGATGCGTTCGTATGACCATTTCCTAGAACTTCTACAAATTTTCCGACAATGCGAACAATTTNTTGGAGAAATTTGTTTTAAAACTTCAATCCATTCTTGTATCCAATAGGAAATTGCAGAAAAGTCTGTAATAATTCCGTAAAATGATGCGTTTGTATGACCATTTCCTAGAACTTCTACAAATTTTCCGACAATGCGAACAATTTTTTCACAATGTTCTTTTACAATTGCTGTTATTTCCGGTGTTTCTTTGAATTCAGCAAATCCTGATACAGAAAAAATGAAAAAAATGCTGCTGAAAATCACAATGGTTAGAGAAAAACGGTGCATTTTGGCTTTAGTTGTAAATTGTTGTTTTGTAATGTTTAATTTAAAAATAATATGGATAAGGATTATATAGCTTTTTGTCCGCCTATTTTATGCAAAACGTGATAACTAATTAAATTTTTTAAACAAAATTTTCCAGCAAATTTTTAATAATTGAAAATGAAAAACACAAATATTATTACTTTAGTACTTGAAAATGTTAGTAAACATTTCAAAAAGTTAGTCCTTCAACAAGTGGCCACCGTCCTCGGTGACTTTCTACGGTGTCAGCACGCTGGCGAATGATCATTTCAATTTCTGCAGCTTTTGGGTTTACAAGTGTGTTCCATCGCTAGCAAAAAAAACAAAAATATTAACACAAAATGTCAACAAGCTGTGTAGCTCTTACCTCTACCATCGTTCCCGGAGTCAGAATGAACTTTCCCACGGCGTAAACGGGTACGGCAAGCATCGAAGAGAGCGCCAGAAACCAGCCAAAAGCAATTGCCCACGAGGGAAAACTGTAGTCGACGTACTTTACCGGTTCGTACTGTACCAGATTGAAGATAAAGATGGCCTACGTGTGAATAAGAAAAATTACTTAACACAATCAAAACATTGCCGTGTTTGTGCTCGTACCAGCGTCAACATAGGCGAGATGTACTTCCAGCAGATAGTCCAAAAGACGGACAACTTCTTACTGCGCATAAACTCCAGCTGGCGGACGAAGGTGTCCATTCCGTAGAACCAGCTGACGGCCACCGTCTCAAAGAAGATCAGACTGAGCAGGGAAAAACCACTGGCGGCGTAGGTGTCAAAGAGGGTGAACCAGTAGATGCCACCGCGGCTGACCAGCACCAGACCGGCGCCCAGGCCGGCCAGGCTGATGACGCCAAAGAAGAGCGGTCGACGGTGGGCGAGCACGTCGGGAAACTCGTCAATGACGCCTGTGAAGAAGGACTCCAGCTGGACAAACTGAAAATGTAAACAAAACAAATGGGTGAGCGAAAAGAGGAAGCTGAAAGCAAGAAAGTTACACTAAGGCTTACCTGAGATCCCAGTCCCAGCATCATCATCATGATAAAGAACAAAACANGACGGACAACTTCTTACTGCGCATAAACTCCAGCTGGCGGACGAAGGTGTCCATTCCGTAGAACCAGCTGACGGCCACCGTCTCAAAGAAGATCAGACTGAGCAGGGAAAAACCACTGGCGGCGTAGGTGTCAAAGAGGGTGAACCAGTAGATGCCACCGCGGCTGACCAGCACCAGACCGGCGCCCAGGCCAGCCAGGCTGATGACGCCGAAGAAAAGCGGTCGACGGTGGGCGAGCACGTCGGGAAACTCGTCAATGACGCCCGTGAAGAAGGACTCCAGCTGGACAAACTGAAAAAGTAAACAAAACAAAACAAATGGGTGAGCGAAAAGAGGAAACTGAAAACTGAAAAAGTTACACTGAGGCTTGTTACCTGAGATCCCAGTCCCAGCATCATCATCATGATAAAGAACAAAACAGTCCACAAATGGGCAAAAGGCATCATCAGCGTGGCAGAAGGGTAGACAATAAAGGAAAGCCCGGAGCCGCTCTCCGCCACCTCACTAACATCGACGCCCGCCTGCTGAGACATGAAGCCGATGATGCTGAAGACGATGAAGCCGCTGAAGAAGGCGGTCAGGGCGTTTATAACTGAGACAATGACCGTGTCCCAGAGGACGTCATTGCTGAAACTGTTGTAGCTTGAGAGGGCCGGCCAGGCGCCGACGCCCAGCCCCTGCGAGAAGAAGACCTGCGTGGCGGCGTCAATCCAAACGGTGGGATCCAACAGGCGCCCTAGGTCCGGTTTCAGGTAGTATACGATGCCAGTGAGGGCGCCTTCGAGGGTGATGCCGCGGATGAACAGTACCGTCAGGCAGAAGTAGGGGAAGAGAGCGGTGACGTACAGTATCTTCCCCGTCGTTTTGATGCCCCTGTACATTGCCCAGTAGCAGAGCAGCCACATGAGGGCCAGTGACGCCCAGAGGTACCAGATGACGCCGCCAGAGGTGTCAATGCCCGGCGTCGTCTGGATGACGTGCCGATTCCAGAACTCCTTCACCGGATTGCTGCTGGCAAACTCCTGCGTGTGGTTCCGGCAGATGGCTAGCTGATGGGCGGTAAGCTTTACAGTGCTGCTGCCATTTTGAGCTACTGTACTGCTCTTAATCTGCAGCAGCTCCAGACAAGAGGCCACAAAGTTGCCCTCCATCTTACAGTGGGCAGTGTTCCAGGCGTTGCTGCAGGTCGCCCAGGGCAGGTCGCCGATGGTGAAGGAGCGCAGGAGGTAGTAGGCGGACCAGGCGATGATGACGATGTAGTAGGCATTGAGCCAGAAGACGAGAATCAGCGAGCTGTAGCCGACCCCCTTCAGCACCGGACATATTGTCCAGATGGTGATGAAACCCCTGCCGAGCAGCTGGCCAAGGGCCGATTCAAGCAAGTAGACGGGCACGCCGGTGAAGACCAGACAGATGAGGTAGGGAATGAGAAATGCGCCGCCGCCGTTCTTGTAGCAGAGATAGGGGAAGCGCCAGATGTTGCCCAGGCCGACGGCGAAGCCAATGCAGGACATCATGTAGTCCAGCTTGTTGGACCACTCTCTTCGAGGGGCGGCTTTAGTTTCGAGGTCATTAGTTTTGGTAGTATCGGGTGTGCCTGGTGTGGTACTTGCTGTTGTTGCACCAGTGGCGACAGAAGGTTTGGAGTTTAGCGTGGAATTTTCAGTAGAGAGAGACATTTTGGATGTGAAAGTGCCTAAGTTTATTGTGCGTCATACGCTTAAAATCTTTATGCAAAAATGTTCTGCAAAAATATTCTGTTTTTTAGAAATAAGTTAGTTTTTCTACAATTACACGCACTCAGCTGTACAAGTTGCACAAATTACAAACTTTTTTAGTTTTTTTCATTTCCCCCTTCATCGACATCTGCTAACAGTGAACAGAAAACAACTCCATCTAATAACAATAGCAAAAAATTGTCCGATTTTAAAAATTGCTGCCTCTATCGTTGTTTCATGAGTGCAACAATTAAAAACACTCACAACAAGTGCCCAAAAATAGAACTCATAATTGTTATTATTATTAGAAGATTGGGCGGATGGACAGTCGAACATNTTAAAAACACTCACAACAAGTGCCCAAAAATAGAACTCATAATTGTTATTATTATTAGAAGATTGGGCGGATGGACAGTCGAACATAGGAATGAAACGAAACAAAAGAGGAAGAAAGATGGAAGAAAGGGCAGCAGTGAAAGTGGCAAGTGAAAGTGCTGCCTATCAAAGAAAGATAATAGCAGCAGTAGATTTCTAATAAGGATAAGCGCTGGTGCAGCAGCAGCATCAGCAGAAAGAGCCGCATCAGCATCAGCCGCCTGTGGCCATCATTCAACGGCTGACTATGAACGGGTGGACTTCTTCTTCGTGGGTTTCATCGACTTTGCTGCTGATTCAGCTGCTGGTGTTCACACTGTTCGCTGTTTCAAGTGATGGTAAACGACTGTTTTTGTGTGAAAAAAGGTTCACCCCGTGTTTTCCCATCATTTTCAGCTCGCATCCACCCAGCGTACCTGCAGGAGCCTGGTCACTGCGCCTCGCCCACTGACCTTCGACCTCGGTGGATGTCCCGCCTGGCGGACAGTCGTCTGCTGAGCCGCATTTCAATGCCTGGGACGCACGACTCGCTGGCGCTGCACGGCGGCCTCGTCTGGCAGTGCCAGTCGATGCCGCTGGCCGCCCAGCTGGCGGCGGGCGTCAGGGCGCTGGACGTGCGCTGTCGCCACTTGTCCGGCGGCCGCTTCGCCATCTACCACTCCTTCAACTACCAGCAGATTGACTTTGACGGGGTGCTGGCCATTGTGGCCGAGTTTCTGGCGGAGAACCCCAGCGAGACGGTGCTGATGCGCGTCAAGAAGGAGTGGATCAGCGATCCCTCTTTTGGTGGGCCCTCATTTGAGGAGACCTTTCTTCGCTACAGGCAGATGTTCAACGGCCTCTTCTACCAAAGTTCTGAAGGTGGTGGGCACAATGGAATGGAAAGCTTCAAGGCGTTGACGCTGGGAGAGGTGCGCGGAAAAGTGGTCGTTCTGCAGGACTTTGAGACCTCGGAGTGTGATGGAAAGGACGTGGGCTTGCAGGTGGGAAACGGCGGAGATGAAAAGTTGACCCCTACTCACGTGCGTCACCACAAGGTCTACGGGCCGCTGTGGTCTGAGGCGGTCATTCAGGATCAGTTCGCCATTTACACCATCTGGTCGATGTACTACAACAAGTGGGTGCCCATAAAGGAGCACCTTCAGGTGGCCAATGACAGCCTGATCAATTCTACAGCTCCCAATGGGCCAAGTCCTCCGTTCTACATCAACTTCCTCTCCGCCTCGGTGGGCGTCATGCCGTACTTTGCCGCCTCGGGCAACGTCGCCTGGGGCACCGACGGCGAGCGGCAGTACTT